GCTTAGGACAGCCGTCAAATTCAGTCAATTTGGCCGCTGCTTTCTCAGCGAGGCCACCTCGCTCCGAGGTAAATTCTTCGAGAGTCTTTGCAGGGAGGGTTGAAGTTCCATGATGAACAGCTTGAGCATGATGCGTCTCGTGAATGGGAATAGTTGTATGAACAACATGAGGCTGGACAGTCTCTTTCTGAATTACCGGTTGAACGTGTTCATGAACATGGTGGTGGATACGCTCGCCAGTGACAGTAGGGGCGGTCTCAGCAGAGTGTGTGGTGCTGTGTGTCTCAGTAGTATCTCTATACTTGGCAGCTTCTCGATCCAGAGTAGCTCGAGTCTGCTGGTCGTCTCCGTGATGGAACTCCTTGTGCTGGACGGGAACCAAGTTATGATGGTGCTGTTCAGGGCTGTATTTGTTAGTATATGCAGACATATGTGTGGAACTGGGGAATATCTCGCTTACAGAGTCTCCTTGTGAGTGATTGGTTGAATAGTGGTGTGATGATGTTCCTTGCCGTCGTCAGCGTGCGTTGATTACGTCCCTGTCCTTTATACATACCTGGTGAACTTCTCTGTCTAATGCGGTAGTCACCGACTCGTGCTGGTGAGGCTTCACATGCTCCTGTGTGACATGGCCTCGAACGTCCTCGTCGACGGTGGTCTTGTGCTTTCCATCGTTGGAAAGGAAGCTAGAAACGGCAGACTTGGCTTTCTCCATTTTGGTTGATTTGGTTGTTGTTTATGAGGTTATGAGGATTTTGTGTTTTGGTAATGATGGTTGCTTTGCTATTGTAATGTGGCTGATGTGATGATGATGATGAGAACAAAGCTGTTGAAGTTGAGATGTGCTTAAGCTTATATACTTGAAGATAGCACAGGTCGTCGCGGGTGCCCGATGTATGCTTAGCCGCCTCTTCATCACGGGAAGTATCATGAACGTCATACCATTCGAGCTCCGAATCTGACTCTGGAGAGTCTCAGCCAACGGTGAGTTCAAGGGAGCTCCAGCTTCTGGTGTGTGGGCCGTGTCACCGTGTTAGAGCTGTCATGATGATGATGATGAGCTCCAAGCCCTCCATGTCATCCCGCGATCTTCATTCGGCAAGCATCTTGATCGGGCTCCCCTCTCAAGGTAAACTGCATTGCATCTGCAGCTGAATCTGGACTGAGGACAGTGCACACGTCAAGTCGACCCTAACGCCTAACCCCTGGAGTGGTGTGCCCTCAGTAGCATGTCCCAGAGCCTACGCTCGCAGGCAGAGAACAATAACAAGCAATCAGCTTTCGTCCATCTCAGCTGAATTCAGGGATTATCAACGTCACGATCTGCGATTGCTGGGGAACAGGTGTCCCGGAGAGACACAAGCCCTGTCTCATCCACCCGAGTTGGCGGGTCAAGCATACCCAGTAGGCCACGTAGAGAAGTTGATCCGCAACCGGTGTTCGTTTCTGGAGATGCCCTCGTCGCGATGTTTCCGTTCGGATAAACACGCCATGGATGAACAGGAAGTGATAAGCAAGTTCTGGCCAAGAGGCTTAGAGACTAAGTCTCAGATTAGCATAGCTAAGCATCCACTAGCGCGCTGTAGCTCCGATGAAGGGCGTCATCGAGCTTCGGATACGCAAAGTTCCACACTGATCCTCGCCGTCGATCCCGGCGACGCGATCTAGACCGTAGACCTCAATTGATCAATAGGAAATAGGGGGTGAGTGATGTAAATATGCGTTGTATGATGGCATGGAGTTTCTCCGGATCGAATAGAGTTGAGCCGAGTTGAGTTGAGCCATGATCTGATGGATGGTCTCAGAAGCAATTCTCCGAATCTGAGACATGAGCTCAAATCAACAGACGCAGTCGTCTCTTGCGTGGCAAACTCATCATGTGTAGAGACTGAGTTGTTTCGTAATATCACTAATACGCAAAACAATATCCCTAATCACGATCGCTCTTTCCCTTTCCTTGTTTTCTGCCTGCTCCTTCTCCGTCCCCAATTATCGTTGAGCTCCTTCCGCATACACGCCGCCTCACATGGGTCTCAAAGATACCATCAAGAAGCGAGCTTCACGTCTATTCCACAGAGATGGTGCAGAAAAGACATCTGAGGGTCCCAACTCGGAGCCATCAAGCAACAGAAACAGTTTGAATGCTTCAGACAGAAAGTCCCAGTCACGCCATCGCAAGTCATTGAGTCTCTTGAGCAGAACCTCAAGGTCAGAACCCAAGGTTGACCATGAGGCTCCTCAATCGAAACCCGCCGGTGCTCCTCAAAACACAAACGGCTTCCTAGCTCATCCGGCAGTTCAGCCGTTAGAGGCGGATCTGGCCCCCAAGACCCCAAGATTGGAACGCCAACGGCCTGGTATCCAATTAGAAGACGCCGGTGAGGCACATACTGATGGGAATGCCGGCGGCAATGAGTACTTCGATGCTTCGTCAGGCCAGGCAGCTCGACAACATACAGCTGTGGAAGAGAACGCGAACCATCAAACGGCGAGGCCAGCTAATTCGCCTGATGCAGAAGACCTCGAAAGAAGGCTGTCTCGTCTAGCTGTTTCTCAACAAGAATCGGAGCTTCCTGAAATAGAGGTCGACCCTTTGACTCCATTTGATCACTTCGAGGAGACCCATTATGACCAGGCAAAGCTCTCGCGACTAGCAATTGGGCAAGAAGGTCCCGAAAAGCCAGCAACACACATCAATCCCATATCTCAAGAGTCTGATGTCAATTTGGAGTCGAATACCAGCCAGGAGGGCAACATCAAACACAACTTGGAAGCTATTCACCCACGAGACGCCGAGTTCGACCGCATTAATAAGGAAGTCCAGGCTGGCACAGAAGGTGGATCCAACTTTCATCTCCAGAACAGCCTTGACTTTGACAGGACAGTTCACACAGACCGAGACCCGGTCGTCCATGAAATCCAAAAGAAACATGTCCACGAAATTCAACAAGTGCAACGGCAAGTGTCGTATCACACACATGAACATCGGACTCTGATTCAGCCAATCAAGGATCCTAACCCTACAATACTCCCAGAGCAACACTGGCTGCAAGATGATAAGACCGGCGAAATTTACAGAATCCCCGATGAGCTGGGAAAGCAAATGATGTAGAATGTATATAATATGGCGTTATTGTTCACCTGATAGGCTTTGGAAGCGCGAGCGAGGAGTGTAAAGCACATGATATTTCAACCATAATAGATCACCAATTCCACTTGTAGGTTACTATGTGTGGCTTGACACGAGCCGTCTCGTGCTTTCCGGTGCCGTTTCTTCTGATACTCTGAGACCTGCCTTAGGAAGCAGTTATCAGCGGCACATACCTGCCAGTCGTCTGAAGCCCTTTGCTTGCTGCCTTCAATGCGATTTTTGGTAGGTAAACACCGGATACGGCGATCAAGGGTCCAGGTACGTCAATCTCGCATATGTAGGGTAGACTTGTCGAGAGGTTAGTTCAATTCTCAAGCCAGAGAGCAGCCGATAAGTGATATTAGGTATTTATTATGGTTGAAATGTTAAACACTTTATGCTCATTGCTCTCGCTTGCAAAGCCTTGTCGGCATGAGGGAAGTCTCCAGGTGGGATGACAGGCCAGTTGTTTTGGGCAGAGCTATCTGTATGCTTTCTAGGTAGGTAGTGTTGTTTTTTGGGATCTCAAGTGTGACTTGGTTTACGGGCTAGATGGTGGAGGTTTGTGTCTCAGAGTTGGTGGTGAAAGAACTACCAAGGATTCCCTGTGCCTGCTAGCTCTGCTGGCTCTGCCTTGATTTGTGTTGTCACTGCGGGTAATCCTTAAGCAGCTTGAATGAGATGACGTTCGTGATATTTCCCGTGATGAAGAGGCGGCTAAGAGGCACATATTCAGCCATACTTCATGATGTTCCAATTTCTCTACTTGATGCCTATTTAGTAGTCTCATCCTTGGTCTCGACCCAGGCTATGTTGGTATTTCCTTTCGAGGGTTTGGAACTTCCCTCTCGAGTTGCGGCCCGCAAGGCGACTTCGATCTCGGCAGAAGCATCTTCCATTTGAGTTTCTTGTTGGTTGGAGTCAACCTCCATATGACTTGATACATCCTGCTTCGCCTGATCGGAGGACTCCATTTTCAGAAGTCTGAGAGGCGAGATACCTGGCGGGTTTAGCGATAGGGGGTTATGTAGGTTTATCATTGTCTTCCCTTGGGAACGAGAGAAACATGCCGTTCTTTGTGAAAGATATTGTCATGGTACACTACCTGGCCTCCCATTTGTCGCTGGATGGCCCAAATCATTGTTCATCTCCTGAAATAAACTTGAGAAATCACCAGACTGGTACCAGAAAGCATCTCTCAAGATAATGTACGGGAACTAAATGGTCCACAACATGACATGTCTCTTAGCCCTTATTTGACAACCCCCTGAATGGTATCAACCAAGTACATAGCTTCTGTCTTTATCTTTTCCTCTTCCAAGGTCTCCTTTTTCTTTCGCATCATCATTTGCCACGAGCATTTGATTGCGCAATTGGGGTTTGGCCACAGCAAACCATTCCGCGCAGTGTTGGCACGCTCGCCATCGATCCCTCCTGGGCGGTAAGGCTTTGTTTACAAAGTAGGGGAGTTGCAGCTTGGTATTCATTTTGTCATTGTGCCAATAGAGACAACACCTCCTTAATATGAGATATCGGACGTATCATGGTCAGGGCTGCTGATGTCAACTAACACATTTGGAGACCAGATGCCCGAAGTGCGGACTCAAGTCAACTTCGAGCAAGTGATAGATAGATAGGCATATTGATGGTTGGCAGGTGGTTAATCTTGCGGGAAGGGTTAATGTCGGTAGAAGGAGCTTCGCCCAAAGATCTAAACGTGAGCACTGCTGGCCAGTGCGAAGGGGGGCGCATAGATTCGAACAATATCTGAGCAATCCCCCCTACTCCACGGCCATAACACTAAATTCAATGACCAGCCAGCTACAGATCTATAGTATCCAAGAGCCTTGACCTTGCTAACAATCAATATACCCCCTTTGGTGCAGTGGTAGCATATCCCATCCGATCGACGACAAGTAGCAGTGCGTTGAGGATATCCTGGAAGACCTGGGTTCAATTCCTAGAAGGGGTACTTATATTCCTTCTCCTTTTTTTCCTTTTGGTCCCTTTACCATATTTCAACGCCAAGGTACATGATCAGCCGTAGGATCTATTTACTGACGTATTGAGGCTCTTGTGACTGGGTTGAAGTTATTGAGGGGGATTGACACCCCTTAAACATGACTGCAGTGTCCCCTTAATGAGAAGGGCTTCGGTTATTGCAGTGATTATTGTGTAATATAGATGACTTACGAGTTAACATCGATGGGAGGAAGAGAAAAGGGTCAAAAGGAGAAATTCAGGCAGACCATTTTGAACTCATCCTAGCTTTTGCTGCGTGGGGCAGGGCAAGAGTCGGTGCGGGAAACCATATGATTTGTTATTCATAGTGACACGACAGGCCATAGGTTCATCATGTCTAAGAACCTAGGACTTTTCAACAATAACAGCCACACCCCCTTTGGTGCAGTGGTTAGCACGCTCCATCTATCCGGTACTCAGTGAGTCCGGTGTTACTATCTTCTGAATGGGATGGATCATGGAGAGCCCCGGGTTCAAACCCCGGAAGGGGGGTCAACATCTTTTTCTTTTTCTTTCCTCTTTCTCCTTTGACGTGTGCCTAGGCCAAGTACACGACAAGCTTGAGGCTCATGGCGCGTAAAGATCTAGGATCTGTTAACAATAAACATACCTCCTGCATATTGATTTTCACACTCCTTTCTATTATCTTCTGGCGGTATCTTGCTACTCATCAGTGAGGAGAGACATGGATTTGAAGCCCCAGCCATGCGACTGGCCATAGGTTTATGGTGCCTAAAAACCTAGGATCGGTCAACAATAACAAACACCCCCTTTGGTGCAGTGGCTAGCACACTCCATTCATCGGCACTCGTTGAGTCCGGTTTCATCAATTCTAAATGGGATGGATCATGGAGAGCCCCGGGTTCAAACCCCGGAAGGGGGGTAAATATCTTTTTCTCTTTTTTCCCCCTTCGACGTATCTTAATGTGAGGCCAGTGCAGCTCCATCAGTACGTTGGTTGACAGTGCGTAGCCAGCTAGCTAGTGCTATTTGCGATGTGTATATATATACACATAGTTTGCATTTTTATTTTGATGCCGTGCTTTACCTACGATATGTATGTCGCTCGCTTCCACTTTCAACCTAAAGACCAAGATGAATGACGAATAAAGGGGGAAAGGGGGGATGGTTGCAAGAATGTAACGATTCTCTCAGAACTGGTGATATATAGCAGCTATCCAATCTCTGTTTTAATAATAATATGTCCGTAGATATTAAGAGGGAGTACTCAATGAACGATATTCTGAAATAAACAGACACTGTTTCTAAGCTTTGCTGTGTTTGTGACAGCACCCTTCACAGCTACATCTGATCTGCAGTTGTTATAACTGAGGCCCTCTACATGACTTCCCGGACCAACAACTGCACGTGCCTGGTCACAACTGAGAGTGCACTTGCAAGGTTGACCGTAAAGTCTTGTTGAGTACGCCTTTGTAGTTTCCAGATGTGTTGCCGTTGGCCCCTTAATAGTAGGGGTGGCTGCAAATGTAATCTGCTTTTTGCAAAAAGCACTACGTTAAAACCCATGGACAAATACGCCGCCAATGCCATCAATACCATGATAAAGATATTGACAGCAGTGACTTTATGGCTTATTTTCCTCTGTATGAATAACTGACTTCTATCCCTGCTTCTACTATATCCAACCTTGACCGATCCTCTATCGTTTGGCTTGAGTCAGGAATTTCTTAAATCTGCCAGTCGACATTTTTCTGTTTAAATGTTGAGAGTACGATGTATCGTCAGGCTGGATGTCGTTGATTTAAGATATCATTAGACCGATCATGGTGGGTCCCGATGACAGGCAAGGATATCCATACAGATAGTTTCGCCAAGTGGCTGGGGTCCCCATAACATCCACCTCGTCTGTAATCGGGAATCTTGACCGTCTCCGGATCTTGTGGTATAATCAAATCGCTGGGTCGCGTACCAAGAGCCTACGAGCAAACAGTTAATAGAGAGAGGATACTATACCATACGCAAAGGACTACTGCAGCTACCGTTATGATGACTTGTATCTCGACCACAGGGACATCGAAAGAGCCCTTGTATCGCTGACACCCACCTCGTACGACGCTGTTCAACATAACCGCGGTCGACAAGGTACAAGGGAACCAGGCCGACATAGTACAGACAACCAGACTCAGGTTCATAGATAAGGCTCATAGTATAAACGTTACTATTACTTAAGTACAATAAACTAAGGTAATTCCAATATACTTCTTAACCTCCTGAAGCAGGGCTCAGGAGCTTTCGCTGATTCATAAGGGTGACCTCGACAGAGGCGTGCACTAGGTTTATTGGAGTTCCTAAGATTCTATATCAGTGGCTTCCTTGCACCTTGTCTACAATCAAGAAAGTATTGTTGACCTCGATAAAATAAACTTGTGATCGAGTTCGCGGGTGACCTGAAACCATGATTTGCTCCTCAACATTGTCTTTCTATAGACCTGTGTTGGTACTCATGGTAGTGCGGTTAAACCTTGATCTCGATGGGCTAATCTCATCCCAAAACTCGAGCTTGGCGCCTGTGCTCAGGTCGGTTGGCAGAACCAAAACCCAGCAAAGTGACATGAATAAAGTGGTTTGGGATGCCTTTCGGCTTTGGCTCTTTGTACTATTTCTTGTTAAAGATCTGCTAAAATCCAACCTGATCCGGACTTGGTCTGGAAGAACATGTTTTGGACCCGTCCCAACTCCCCCATTGCAAATTGAAGATAGTTAAAGAGAAAAATATATGTACTTGAATCACCTTCCTTTGACGCCTCTCTTTATCATTGATACTTACAACGGACTCAATTGAGCCCGTAGGTCGCGACGAGACTTAGCAAGGTCTCATGGCCACACAAGGACACGTTACTTCTAAGGACCATAAGTACCGGGTTCATTCGCCCTCCATTTGCGACTCCTATCGTACCCAAGCAAGTTACATGTATGCTACTGGCTGTCTTAACAGGTGAAAAGAGGCATGCAGTACCCATAAGCTCTCAAGTCAGTGAATATCATCAGAGAGTCCGTTGTCAACCGTCTCATGATTTACCCCCTTTGGAAGCGTATTCAATTATCCCAATACCTAGGCTGACAATGTCAGCAAACTGTATGAGATCGCCCAATGACTTCATTCTCTATCAAACTATATGCATTTAGTTGATTAGAGGTGGACCAGATATATATGTCAGCGGTGTGGTAACTGGATAGGGACCTCGAAGAGCCAGCTGCAGACTTCCTTAGAGGCAGGTGGAGGCCAGAAGAATTGTCTAAGGCTTCAGCTATATGGGTAAAGTAACCTAATTGTTAGCCTAAGCTTGTATGAGATGACCAAATTATCTTGTCTCTTATACTCTTGGCGGCCAATTGTTCTGACACCCTGACGAGAGGGCAGTTCCTTGATTTTGCCTTGTACGAAAAGCGAAGGATGGAGGTTTGACAGACTTACATGGCCTGCTAGCTCATCATCATTACTGTCAACATTGTCGTCGCCCAGTCCATTGTGGCGTGGTTTCTTGGGGTTGACAGGAAGAGAACCAGACACGTCTGGGAGGACCGGTGCAGCCTTTCGCTCGACAGAGCCTTTGCTTATAGTACTAGGAGACCGTACTGGCTGGTTGGGTGCCGGGAGGTTTAAACCTGGGATAATGTTAGATAAGTATAAGTAGGTCTGGATAGTCATACTCTGAGGAAGTAAGCAGAAGCAGCTTGTAGTCTGGCTGGAGTAGGAGCACCACCTGGTGTAGGGATCGATGTAACCTCAAGTCGTCAAGGATGGCGTTGGTGGTGTCCGAGTGACCCATATCGGTGGTAGCCATTGTCGATGGAGGATGAAGGTGAGGTAGAGGAGGGGGGTGAGAGCTGAATGATTCAGACGACCTTAACGAACGAGGCTGACTGCCTCACAACACAACACTCCTCCACAACAGCCCGAGTATACCGTAAAGACTGAATTGATGGTGATGAATACCATCTTTCTTAGGCTTTCAAAGTGCCCATGATGGCAAGGGTGTCAAGTTAAATGGTTGACCAGCAAACAAGTCCTGCGAATCTTCCAAATTCAAGATCATCCTTTCGGACAGATACCTCGGAGGTAGCCAACGTCACTAGCCAATTCTACCTACATACTTAGCGAACTTAGTACCTAAGTAGTTGAATACAATGAGATGTGGACAGGAAGAAATTGTTCTTAAGTGTTTCGTCGTTTCTCGCCTGCGTCCGTTCTAAGGACGTTCCGTTTTCTTTGCTCTTCCTTTTCACCCTTGCCCTGTTTTTCAGGCTTCCCGAAGTTCGGTCAACGGCGTCCTCGTGGCTCGGTCTTGTTCGTTCTGTCCACTCCAGTGGCCGCTGACTGGGCTTCGACGTTGGTTAGACGAGCTGCAGGAAAGATAATGCATTGCTTGCTTTTGGTGAAGATGAGAATGCACTGGTGCGATTGTGATGTGCCAAGGTGAAGCCGATCATGTTATCTAGTGATTGGTGGCCCCAACCTCGAACTGAAATTAGAGTTGCTCCCAAACCAAACTTTACAAAATATCTCGAGCTTCTCTAGATTCTCAACATCGATCCTGAAATGACCAACACGTCCGCCGTCTTAATCGCCACTGCTTCCACCTATGCCTCACCAGAACGTCGCACTTGGCGTCCTCGTCAATGCGGACGACAGTATCAAGGTACGCTTTCAGGCGCTGAATTCTCTCCTCTCCCTGACGAATAGTGAGGGTTAAAGATTGATTAAGTATCAACTAGAGGTCAGTTAAAGCATAACTTGAACATGATCTCAAACGTTCCGAATGCGATAATCACACAGTTAGAACACGACTATTCTTCTACTATCCCTCAACACGAATCGGCGTACGATGTACTTATATCCAACTGGCGGGTGCAGAAACATCCACACGCCTTCTTATCCATGTCACTTACCGACAGCTCAGGCTTGTCAACCCCCACTTGGATAACTCTTTGTCTGCCTGTGCCCGTAGGGGTTTGCTTCCGTAGGTGGCTTCATGTTCACTATCCCCCAAAGACCGAGAAGCACTGCCTCTTGGAATAGATAGCAAGTGTACCTTCATTGTTGTTTTGATTTGGTGTAGGGTGGCTAAAGTGGATATTGATTTAGGAACAACCAATCATGGTACAAGGAATCTCCATTCAGGACAGATACCAATCATGAAACACAACCTTCTATACACAAGTCATTCATTGGGACGCATGACATCCATATTGTATCAGAGGCTTTAGAGCTTCCGCTTGAGCATGTAATATACGATATTAAGGGATATGAGGATCCTCTATCCCCCTCACCAAAAAGGACACCTTCGGTAGCTAGGCTCCGAAGTGACCCACTGAGGGATGGACGGTGGGAATATTCTCGAATCTGGAGATAAAAAAGAGGCCAAGTTTCCTTTATTCGGAGTGAATAGCTTTGATAGAATACAAGGTTGCATCAGAAAGTTTGTCAATTAAAACAAGCACAAGCTGACGTGAGTCACTCACTGTCTATAGAACTCGGTAGAAATGATCCATTCTTGGTCCTTCGTATCTTCTAAGCGCTTCTTTCATTCTGATTCAAGGTGGCGGTACTTCTACGCAGTGGCCCCCCTGTGATTGAGGCGTTCACGGCTCACTATTCTAGCGCGCCAGGGGCTGAACAGCCTTGTCTTACAAACACTGTCTTCAAGTCTGTGAACAAGTATCTCGTCGAATAATTCGTGGGAATCGCAACCTAGAAAAGGCGGCATATACAGTGCCGAAGCCCCATACAAAAGCGCTGCACCCCTGTCACGTGGGGCTGCGAATGATGTGAAATCTGGCCTCTTGTGCCATCTGGACACCTTAACTTTTTTTTTGGAGACAGCCCGCCTTAGCCCAGAGAACACCTTACTTAATAAGTTG